CATAAAAATACCATTTATGATATAATTGCACAATTTGCGGACTAAACAAAAAGTTTAAAAAAAAAAAAAAAAAAAAAACCCTGTCTTAGATGTAAATAACGTCACTCATTGGGTATACTTAACCCTGCGGAATCTTTATGAGTTTCAGGATCTGAAACTAGGTGGGTTCCCTGGCAATTGTAACTGAAATGTTTTTATGAATTTTATATATTTATCATTATGAAAAGTATTGTTTAGTAAATTGTATGTAATTCTGTATATTTCCAAAACTCAGGGCTGATCAGGCGAGGCCGATGCCCCTGAAATCGATCTCAAATAAAGCTGTAAAAGCAGACGAATCTTTTCGTCCCACACATCCATACTTATATTAAATGAAATCTCAGCCCGAAAAAAAAGAATATTAGAATATATATTCGCCTAAATCAATGTGTTTAATAATATCCCAATATTAAATAATTTTCTAAAAAAATGCTATAAAAATAGAAAAAAATCGATAAATCATCAAACTATTTACCATATTTACTGTCTTGGAATCAAAGGCGGTAATTCCAAGAGGTCATCACAAGTATGCTTATCACGGGTTTCAATTTAGCTTTGTTGTGGTCGTGGGGAGAAGCCGAGCCTGGTAATTAGTTACTGTTTCAGTTAGCATTAGTTTAGTATTCATGCATTCCTGCGTTCTCTTCGCTGTTCTACCCGAATCTATATATCAGGATTAAGGATGGAAATTAGCTATTCGAAGAGTTACAAGGTGGCCTCTTACAAATGTCTTCAATAGCCCGGCCCTATTCAATTCAGCTGTGTTTGTATGGGCTCTTTGGGTCCGTTGGGCTGAGTATGAGCAAGGAAAAGGAGGAGATAAAGAACTACCATTTGTACTAACGTCTTACGAAAGCAGGGATAAATATTCAGGAAAATATTTGAAAGTGAAATTTAATCGGTTCGCTGTTTTGCTTTTTTTAACGTTAAAACTCTTCACTATTCAACGACTCGATCGTTTATTTTACATGTTGTTTTCTCTTTTTGAAAAATAGATTTTGCAATTATAGATATGCAAGATTAGTACAAAACAATCAACGACTTTTAAATGTAAGTAATATTGTGCATTAAAAACACTGCTTTTGGAGCATTAGTTAACAATAATATTATAATTTTTAAACTTTAATAATAATTTCACTAATTTCGTGGTCCGCTTGACCAATTAATATATTACAATTAATTAAGGTTTTTAGTTGAGATAAAAAAGTCAATGGCACGAGCGGGATTCGAACCCACGATCTTCGGCTAGATATGCCGCTGTTCTACCACTTGAGCTATCGTGACCTCGATCCACTCGGACACCACTTCCCATCTCAACCCCACCTTTTGAATTTTCCCTCCTTTTTGCCATTTTTCAAGGTTTTAGGTTCGTATCCCGCTCGTGACACTGATATTTTTATCTCAACTAAAAACACCTTAATTAATTGAAAGATATTAATTGGCCAAGCGGTTTAATATTAATCATATGAAGACAATGTATGTTTTCATCAAAACTGTAAACTACAAATAACCCCAAAAAATCATAATCATTTGTTGTATTCCAAAGCGTTCACTGAGTACCTATTTCCATTTATTGTTTTCTATCCAGCATTAGCTCATTTATAAATTTTTATAATTTAAACAGAAAATATATTTAGTCGTAAGACTTAAAATTAGATTGATTAAATGATTGATATATTGATTAGAACACAATGAACCGACAAAATTCACAATTTCTCATATGCTACGATAACATTATACTACCAAACAAGTAATGGAAATTACATTCTACAGGTTTTGCCAACGCCATAAATCATGCTTAAGAAAATACAAATACATGCATAACTACAACAACTCCATTTAATAAAAATGGTGATTACATCTACATAAAAAAATGGTACATAGAAATTCAATATCCATTTAATCATCTTAAGAGAATCTAAGAGACTTCCAGGAGGAGGAATAACTTGGGCTTATTGGATATAGGAATAAAAAACACTAATACGTCGAATTCTCAAAGATATTCCATACACGTCCGCCAAATGAAAAATCTAATGGTTGGTGTGTTCTTACTTATAAAAAATGGAATGTATACACCGGCAAAACAATACATCGAACCTCCATATATCTACTTTCTTAAAAAGAATGTATTCCTTTAGAATAAGAAACTCAGTTTTGGTTTTACAAAATATTATTTCATTTTTACATGTATAAATAATTTATTCTGAAATACGAAAATAATTGGACACTCGAATTTTGTTGTTTATGTGAAACCGTATGTATTTTGTGTGCATATTTATATTAATTACAATATACTTATTTTAATGTAAACCAATTTAAACGAGATCAGTAATTCATGAACTTTAATTTAAAAAAATAATTACGCTAGTTAAAAGAAAATTAAATACAACGGAAAAATATTGAGTGATCATTTAAAATTAACTTACTATTTAGTACCTAAGTTTTCTATATTCTAATCTGACTTTTTATCATGTCTAATGTTCTTTGGAATTCACGTCAGAGTGCATGCTGGCCAATTAATTGTTTTGTGCCCTTCATCCTCCAAGTAATGGGTTTCTAACGACGTAGTGCCGAGGTTTATCATAATTAACATAAAGTTTTATTTTATTGTTTTCTATACAAAAATTTACATATTTAATAATTTGTTTTAATAAAACGTCTGGCAGGAACCTGACAGTCCACGGGATGTGGATGGAGGAGCGGAGTCGGCCGTTGCAGAACTCTCAGTGTCTAGGATTGTTGGGTGAGGTTTAGGGTTGGGTTAGGAGGCCACGAAGCTTGTCTTGTTAGGCGGCGTGGAGGATTATTAGGATGGGACGTTGAAGAGAGGGCTTGAGGCTTGGTAGGAGGGCGTGGAGCGCAGTTGTGGAATCGTGTTTGGATCAAGTCCGTCAGGAATGGGATGTCTAGGTCTTTGTGGATGGTTTGGTAGTGACGTAGAAGGAAGCGTTGAGGATGCGACGGAGGACATTTGATTGAAAGGATTCGATTCTTTGAATGTTGGGTGGCTTGGCTGATCCCCAGAACTCGACTCCGTAAGTCCAAATCGGTCTATTCAGTACCTTGTATATTTTTAGTTTGTCGAACTCATTGAGGATTTGAGTACAAGTGAGCGTCTGAGTTGTCCGTATCTTCGGTTCAGTTCTTGACTTTTTTGTTTTATGTGTATATTTCATGTAAGTCCGCTGTCCATTTAGAACCAAAGGTAGGATTAGTTCGTTTACCTTGCCCAACCGATTCCACCAGCCGGTAATGAGGTTTAGGTGGTTTTGGGTTGCTTTTGCTGCAAGGATAGGGGCAGGTTGTGAGGAGAGATTGCGGTGACGCCCGCGAATGTCGTGATGTGGGTATTTGGTGTATAGGTATGTCTGCGGTGTAGACTGCGTAGGGGATTGGTCCTAGGCTACTTGGGGAGCGCTGGCCTTGAAAACACGAAATAAGTTCTCATAAATGGAGCGAATAGAACAACAGCTTTGAGAAGAACTTGTTCAATGTATCTTAGTAGTCAAAGATCCATTCTGATCATAGTTCGGTACGAGCATGGAAGTTGATCCAACACCATAACTGATTGTCTTTGAATAAGCTGTTTCACGCAAGGCACATGAAGGAAAGCGTTATCCATATATTCTCCACACACGGTCCCATTGCCTGATTACCACAAACCAAAACTCATCAGAAGGGAACAAACCGCATTGTTCAAGTGGCCAACCTAGATACTGATTTACGGATAGTCGCCTCTCTACTCGATGCTTCTACAGTAGTAGAGCTCATCCTTACAATACGACAATACGAGCCTTTTGGAGTTGACTATCTATCAAGGAAGCTTAAATGTTGGTTCCGTAATGGGTAAGGGAAATAATGCGATAGCCTCCAGCCGTCGTCCATCGCGGTGGCCCTAAACGCTGCAAACCATCGTCCGTCATTGGTAAAATCCTCTGCCCAGACGAGATCATCTAGACTTACAACCAGGCATAAAAAAAACTCAAATTTATTGTTTCGTTAATTAAAGAACTATTAACTCACTTGACAAAGAGCCTCTGAAAAGAAGAAAATTGTATTGGTTTTTCTTTATTTTAATCGAAAAAATTAAATTCACTAATTTCGTGGTCCGCTTGACCCATTAATATATTACGATTAATTAAGGTTTTTTAGTTGAGATAAAAACGTCAATGGCACGAGCGGGATTCGAACCCACGATCTTCGGCTAGATATGCCGCTGTTCTACCACTTGAGCTATCGTGACCTCGATCCACTCGGACACTAACTTCTCATCTCAACCGCACCTTTTGAATTTTCCCTCCTTTTTGCCATTTTTCAAATGTCGTGTAGTCGGATTGGATTCTCGACGACATATGAAATGGCCACGGAGAGTTTTAGTGAAGTATACTTCATTTTAAATCATTAAATTCACTAATTTCGTGGTACGCTTGACCAATTAATATATTACAATTAATTAAGGTTTTTTAGTTGAGATAAAATAGTCAATGGCATGAGCGGGATTTAAAAAATGGCAAAAAGGAGGGAAAATTCAAAAGGTCGGGTTGAGATGAGACATTAGTGTCCGAGTGGATCGAGGTCACGATAGCTCAAGCGGAAGAGTAGCGGCGTTTCTAGCCGAAGGTCGTGGGTTCGAATCCCGCTCGTGCCATTGACTTTTTTATCTCAACTAAAAAACCTTAATTAATTGTAATCTAAAAAATGTTAACGAATTATATTATCACTCTACAAAAGTAAACAAGTTTTTAATTTTGTGCTTACGTTTCCAGTCAACTATTAATCATTATATCTAATTGTAACGGAAAATAAATAAATACAAATGTCCGTTTTTTATGTCTTTGTATGTATAATAGTTGTTTACGGCAAATATATTTACACGAATGTGCTAATCTAATATTGAATTAACATGTATGTTTTCTTTGTTATTCATCTTTTGAACGTTCATTTTTTCATTTCTGTTACAGATGGCTGGCTGTTCATTGCTTTCTGGTGATTGATACAAGGTAACGCAATAAAATTGAAATTATATACAATTTGATAATGATATTTCCTTTCCCCAAGGAAAAAAATAACAATTAAAAGCATGTGGGCGTATCTATTAGGTCGTAAGTTTTCTATTCAGATAACCGGCGTTCGTTGAATGATGGGTTGATAGGGTCAACCGATATTTCTCCCATGGTATGTTCTCGTGACGACGTGGATGTTATTTTTCTAGTTCTGAATATAAATAAAATTGCTATCACTGGGTACATTTGGCAAAACAAATATAATGCCAACGTGCTTTATGGAATGAATAATTCTTTTAAATTGAATGCGAAATATTTTATGTTTAATGAACCTTCGATCAAATATAAAAATAGAACTCTTATTTTAAAACAAAATTCTCCGCAAAACTTTTAGATTTATTGGTTAAGTTTTATTCAACGACTCTCATTAGTTGTTTATTTAAAATATTAGGTGGGGATTTTTAAAAATAATCTTTGAAAGCAGCGATGAATAGACGTTATAGTAAGTAATCGAAATAATGCCGTCGTAAAGAAACTTTCTCAAACGACCCGACGTGAACGAGTGTTTGAGGATGCATATTTTAATTTACTGGAGAAGTCGAGGGGAAAAATTTATCTCACGAGATTGCGTAGGGTTTCTAATATCATAGTTACTACGAGAAAGGGGTCGTGTGGTGGCTCTAATACCCCCAAAGATCTCATCCCAGACACGTGTCAGACCCGACGCTTTCTTCCAGTGAACAATTCTTCCTATCAAGGCTGGCGTTTAACCGTTGATTAGATAAAAGCATTTTTTGTAAAACAAAAAACTTAAAAACTTTTTAACCTATTTCTTGTTAAGAAAACAACGAAAAATGTTGTCCATGGTAATGGGTTTAAGTTGGTTTTGCCTCTTTTAAAAGTCAAAATCAGACTTGGTATTTAGTTAGTTTCGTGAGCCCTATTTATCATACTATTTGGGGAAGGTCTCTTTAAGGTCAAACGTATTTCAAGAATCGATTGAACCGGGTTTCCTGAGATAGTCTGTAAATCCCCTAAGACCTGGAATAAAATTAATTGGTAATTTCTTTAAGACTCAAAAAAGTCAACCTTTTAATCAAGTATTAAATTTAAATATTATGAATGTTCCTGTGATGTTTTAGCTCTTTGTTACTGGTGGTCTCTTCCACTCGACTAACATAAGCTAAACTCATAAATTATCATGTGTTGAATTATTGTAAATATTTGTTTATATTTTTGAATCATTAGAAACAGAGTTAAACATAACAAAAAAAATTGAATAGATTCTTCGTAAGCTCTAACGAACGACTTAACACAGCAACAGTGAACAATATTTTCCCTGCTTTTTGAAAAATTTAAAAATTATTTTTTAGGTAAATTGAATAGTAAGGCTGATATAAAAAATCGATACGTTAATTAATTTTGTAGTATTAATGTCAATTTTGATGATAAAAATAATATAATTTCACCTATATACAATTCGTGTACTAATTTATGAAATAGATTGTAAATAAGTGACGAATAATTTACAAATAATAATATACTTTTTTCATTACCAATATTGTCTAAACAAAGGTAATTTTATTAAATTAGTTATGAAATTAATATTAATATAATAATAGCCATGAATTTTTCGTACAGATAGATCAGAAAAAGGGTTATCCATGTTTAATAGCTGGCATTAATTTTAATAAAAATGAAAAAATCTTATTTCACATAAAGCAAACATTTAAGTTAAAAGCACATATAAAAAAGAACGTATCTGTAATTTTTTAGGCTTGGGGGGTTGTATAAGGGATTTTAAAAATTCTTACCTCCACTGCAACCTTTTATGGAACCCTTTTAATTTATAACCATACCTTGGAAAGTGCACTTTTTCCTACTTTACTCGGTGCTTCTTTGCCCATTTTTTTCTTAAGGTATGAGAATTTCCTTGCCGATATGACTGTACCGTAACCGAGCAAGTCACAAAGGGCATGTGCCGATGTCGATAGTTCCCACTTAAAGAGTCGGCATGTTTTTGTATCTGCTTTGCCGATCTTCTTTAGGTGGTAGTTAAAAGGGCAGTGTCTGACACATAGCCTATCATTTTCCTCAAATCCCGCTTTCTGAAAGAGAGGAGTTCCCTAGCTTCCTTTTTGAGAAGAATTATAAACCTCTTGGTTTGCCTTTTACCTGGTGCGTTTGTCACGTGCATGAGTTGTTCTTTCTCAAGACATTTCTTAGTTCCAACTTAAGCACACACTCCGGTACACCTAGTTGTACTTTGGTCCCATGGGTAAGACCTGCTGCCCCTTTTTTAGCTTTCCTTCTATACCTTCAACATCCGGGAACCTACTTTAAGGTAATCTTGTTATGTTTTCCTAGAGCCATTAGGCAATTTAGGCACTCTTTCTTTATTAACTCATGTGCAAAAGTTGTATTGTGTGGAAGTCAACTTGGAAAATTGTTGGGATTAATCCAAGGGAATTTGTTAATATAATTTTTACCTCTACGCCAACGCTCTGTTCCTTATTAATCCATCTGTGTGCCATAGTAGGGTCGTTGGCTATTGGGCAACCTTTCTTCCAAAGGTTTCTATTATCCATGACCATAAGAGTCTGTCAGAGTTGAATTTTTCTCTCATACTGTCAGGTATTCTTTTAGCCATCTTATTTATTTTAATTTTCTCCAAAATTGGTCGCTTCTCCATAGATCTGGCTTTATTTCCTTATATCTCAGGAGTCTGCACATTCATTTGCCACCTTGGTGGGGGAGTGATCGAGGTTGGAAGTTGTATTAGGGCAGGTGTGGATTTCCCGTTTTATATTAAGGCATTATCTTTAATTAATAAACTTCGTATTTAAAGAAAGTTAATTCAAGAAAGCCCTTAACTATTTACAAAAATAAAACTTTATTAAGATCGATAAAACTGAAGTTCACAACAACTTAATATAAATCCATTGACTTTAAACAAATTATTTACTAAATTCACTAGTTTTCGTTGACCGCTTGGCCAATTAATATCTTTCAATTAATTAAGGTGTTTTTAGTTGAGATAAAAATATCAGTGTCACGAGCGGGATACGAACCTAAAACCTTGAAAAATGGCAAAAAGGAGGGAAAATTCAAAAGGTGGGGTTGAGATGGGAAGTTAGTGTCCGGGTGGATCGAGTTCACGATAGCTCAAGTGGTAGAGCAGCGGCGTATTTAGCCGAAGGTCGTGGGTTCAAATCCCGCTTGTTACACTGACTTTTTTATCTCAACTAAAAACCTTAATTAATTGAAACAAATGGTTTACTTTTACCATAAATTTTTAAATAAGCATTTTTATCTAATTAGAAAATTTCAACCTATTTTTTTAAGTTTCGTGTCTGTGTATATCAAATAGAGAACAATAGTTTACATACATTTTTTTATCATGTTTAAACAATGTATAGAAAAGAAACCCCTCGTCGGTTTTTGTGCGACTGTCAAATTGTAAACGGGCTCTGCATAATAATGCGAAAAACTGGGAAGCTCAGAGCTTCCCTTCATTAGCTCGAAGTTTCTTTTGGATCACGAGAGTGACATTAAAGACTGCACGCGACGTTATTAAACTTTTTTTTAATATTTGTTTTATAAGACTTATAGCTACAAATTATTCAGTGGTCCGAAATTGCAAACTTGTATTTACAAAAAAAAGAACAGCAAAGTAGACATACTTTTATAAACAAATTGACCCGCCCATCGAATATATTCCCGTTCGATTATTGCTTTCGGTTATTGCTCAACTTTTCCAACATAGTTGGCCTGGGACAGTTAAGAAATGGAACGGGTTATCGTTTCATTTGTTTGTTCGCTAAAACAGAATATATTCTCATTTGCAACTTTTCCCGACTTTGTTCATTACTAAAATTTGGATTTTGCGTTTAAAATATGTATATATTACATATACATTATACATTTTTAGACGGGCCTGTTTCGAGTTCTTCCTAGGTCATATGTTCGAATTAATAATTTTGTAAATTTTGCTTTATAAATCCTGATGAAGGCGTCATAGACGGCCGAAACATTGACTGTTGTTTTCTTTTTCCTTCGTGCCTCATCCCTCATTAAAATAAACACTAATTATTAATTACACTAATAACACTAATTATTAGTAATATTTTCGACTTGTAGAGAAAAAATATAACTTTTGGATTTATAAAAATAAAAATATAATTTGTTTACAGTAATAGATCAATAACAAAACTTTAACAATCATTTTTCAACAACAAAACATTTATTTAGAATATTTTGTGTTTAAGCAAAATCATTCTACATTAATGTTTTTTTGTTGATAAATGATTGTTGCCAAAAAAAAAAAAAAAAAAAAAAAAAAAAAAAAAAAAAAAAAAAAAAAAAAAAAAAAAAAACGATTCGAAGGATGTTTGTAAAGGAAGAAATTTAAATAAAGAGAAATCATAAAGAGGCCAGGTTTCACATAAATAGAAGAAAAAAAATGAAACAAGTCCAGCCGGAGAATAATCCAAGAATCCAACCCTTTTCTGCAGCGTGTTGAAGAAGAAGACGCAACTTCGGGCCCGAGTGCGTCGGAGTCTCCAGCTAACGGCATTGGCGAATATTCTCAGAATTGATAATTAGCGGGTAAAATAAAATAAGGGAAAGCACTTGCACAACTCAATAAGGAAATTAACAAAATTATAATGAAAAGGGGAGAAATAACTTGCAAGAGGTGTTACGTTGGAGAAAAACGGAAAGGGTGAGGAAGGAAGTGTTTTTCACTGAAAGGAATTACCGCTACAAGCGGAATAAGAGTACAAAACTATTTACAAAAACTAAAATTTACAACTGGTGTAAACAAAATGTAGGTTACTTAAAACAAGAAACATTTTCTTCACTCTCACGGCTCGCGCATAGCGTAGCACTAGGTTATAGTGCTCCACATATTCTGCCTGTCTCGCGCTCTCTCTCTCTCTCTCTCTCTCTCTCTCTCACTCTCTCTCTCTCTCTCTCTCTCTCTCGTATGTATTAAT